AAAAGAAAAGGGAGACAACAATCTCACTCAAAGAGGAGGTAAATAGAACCAGGATATAGAATCTTGAATAACACCAAGAAAATAACGGAACCAACATGAAAACATGCAAGCCAAAATACTTACACAAAGAACCACAAAATCAATTACCTGAACATAGTAATAAAATGTTCTTTGAAGGGAAGTACACATGAGATCCAAATCTAATCAGAGTTAGAAGACTTACTTGCAGTCGGAGACAAAATGGAGACAAAATGGAGAAAAGGACCCTGATTCGAACAAAGAGATCGATGTTACCAAGAACACCCAAATGTGGATAAAACAGACCTTGAGAAAACAAATAGTCGTCCTATGAACGATGAAGAAGATGAATCAGCCACCAGGGCGGTCATGTTCTAAGCAACTAGAACGATTTTAGCTCTGATACCATGTAAAAACTAACAAATCTTTCAAAGATACAAAAATGTAAACAGGGAACAAACCCTAAAAATCTCTCAAGAATACAAACAAAACGCTTTCAAATCTCACATAGATAATGAATAGTCTAAAATGTCGATCTAAGCTCTCAACCAGCACAATGTCATATATATATATATATATATATATAACCCTAATAAATAAGTAACTTTTGAGAAACGTGTCATGTTTATGTGCGATGGTTATTGATTTTTCCCGCCTAATCATGTATCTAGAGATAATTTTCACTTACGGTTCAAATAGGTCTATTTAAGTGACATGTGTCCCTTCGGGCGGTTAATTTCACGTATTCGTGGTATAACCGCCTTCGGATAGTAATTGGCGGTTTAGAGTTCCAAATCTGGAGTCCTCCTTTCCAGATTTAGAGACCCGTCCAACGATTTCGCCTCCAGATTTAGAAGCAAGAGACTCAGATGTCTTTGCATGTACTATGCAGAGGCTCTGCATCTGGAGTGGAGCTCTACATATACTATGCGGAGGCTCTACATTTGGAGTGAAGCTCTGCATGTACTATGCAGAGGCTCTGCATGTACTATGCAGAGGCTCTGCATCTGGAGTGAAGCTCGGCATGTACTATGCAGAGGCTCTGCATCTGGAATGAAGCTCCGCATCTGGAATGAAGCTCGACATGTACTATGCAGAGGCTCTGCATGTACTATGCAGAGGCTTTGCATCTGGAGTGAAGCTTTGCATGTACCATACAGAGGCTCTGCATCTAGAGTGAAGCTCTGCATCAAACACCTTAACCTTTATGGCGTTTAAGCCTTGATCTTCCTTGGAATACAACACGGGCTTTGTATATGAGACACTTAACTCTTGAGTAAGAGCTCTGTCTCTTGATGTCTTTTGCATGAGAACTCTGGGAAAATTCAGAGTTGTAAGTCTGAATTTAACTCTGGAGTGGTCATCAAAACCTTATTTAAAATTTCAAATTTGGATTTTTGAAGCATTTTTCACCAAGCAATATTACCTGGATTTTTTTTTCCAAGCTGACCTGGTAGCTCGACCCCAGCCAGGGGCTCTGCCCCTTGGACCCCGCCACCGGGGGGGTTCCCCCCGGATCCCCGTCATTTAGGGGCTTCGCCCCTAAATCAAAATAAACTCAAACAAGTGTGCACTCCGCATCTTCCTTACCTATTCGATATTTATCATGATTACATTGGTCAACAATTTAATCCCATTACACTTAAATGACATTAGTGATACAAATCATCAACATGAAGTCATCAGATATTGGTTATTTCTCAGACTTACAACATAACTCTGAATTGTTCTGCTCCAAACTTGGTTATATAGTTTATTCTTAGACTTAGAATACAACTCTGAACTCCTCTTCAGAGTTACGTTTCTGAATTATAAGAAGTCAGAATTCTTGTGACTCAGAGTTATGCTCGTAGATACTTTCTAGATTTAGAAGACAACTCTGAATTCCTCTTATTCAGAGTTAAGTCCAGAGTTATTTTCCAGCCTAACAATAGAATTCTGAATTATTGTGTTCCAGAGTTAATGTTCAGAGTTTTCTTTAAGAGTTAATGTCCAAAGTTTTTCTCATTTAAAATACCCCGTGTAATACACGGGATCGAACCTAGTATATATATATATAACAAGAAGTTACATATCTACCCCTTGAACTTTGTCCATAACAGCTCCGCTACCCTTCAACTCTTTTCAGCTTCAATTCAGACCACTAAGTTTCATTCAACATCAATTTGGACCACCAAACTTTCCAAATTTACAGAATCAACCCTTTATATATCAACAGCCTAAAATACAAAACTAAAAACCATAAATGTCAAGATTGGATAAGAATAAAGCCATATTTAACACATTTACATAATATTATAAACAAAACTAATTTAACCTCCTCACCATACATCTTAAAACAAAAAAGTAAAAGAAAATGCTAGATGGTTTTGAGTTGTAGAAGTAAAACAAGGGGAGGGGATGGAGATGGGTGGTTAGAGGCGGAGAAGGTGGAAGGGGTCAAGGAGGTCACTAAAGATGCGGTGGAGGGATTTGCAAGCGGCATGATCAGAAGATAGATGCGGTGTCTAGTTCTTTTTAAACGTTCTAACTACTTGTACAATATTAGTTTCAAACGTTTGTAAACAAAGAAAATCACAAAATAAAAATACTAAAATAATCTAAATGTCTTTCACTTGAATAAAATAGTGCAAAGAACATTTAACAATAAATGGTAATAAACTTTTGGACCAAAGATGAGAACCGCAACAAAAATAAAACTTTAATGACTATTTTTGTAATTTCCAATGGGTAATCATACGAACCATAGTTTCAAAACCTAGGAACGATTTTGCAATTCTACTATTTTATTAATGGGAAATTTTATAACTTCAAAAAACTTTTCAATTTTTATATTAACATTAAACTTTTTTTTATTTTGAATGATTAGAAGAATATTCACATAATTAAACGGAATATATCTCGATTTTAATATTTTGTTTTGTTTTATTCTTTGTCTTTGTTGATATAATATAATTTTATGTGATTTTGAGAAAACGATAATATTTTTATTTTTGAATAAAATATAAATTTAAAAATATCATAAAAATTTACAAAAAATAAAACGATATTAGTATCTAATTAACTATATAAAAGTTCTCATTTTTTTTGTTTAATTCATTTTTTATTGTAATTTAATTTAGGTTTAATAATGAAGTAATTTGTTTTTTTGGTTTAATAATATAATTTTTTATAAAGATAATAATTAAGTTTATTTAGAACTTAATGACTATCCTATTTATATTTAGATTTTTTATATTTAAATTGAGATGTTCATCATGTATTTGGTTATATTTATCTACAATTAGTTACATGAATTCAAAAAATGAGCTTTAATAAGTTGTACTTAAGCACAACTTACTTGTAATTTTGAAATTTTAAATAATATGCATAAATAAACAGTTCATGCATAAAAACTGGTTTCGAAGAGTTTTTATCTAATATTTTATAATTTAGTATAGATTAAGTCCATGAATATTTTTTGAATAAATAAACCATTACACTTTTAAAAATTGGTTACCTACATCTTTTTAACCCAAAAGAATTACATGTAACTGATTAAGAACGTTTTATAGTTAACAATACCTAAATCATTTTTATCCATCTTAAATCCTATGTTATTCAAACTCTTCACATGCACACAACAATATCGCTCCCTGTTGCCACTCCTCGTCGCTCCATCGTTTTCCGTTCTCCATACCTCCCATCATTGCGTTGGTCTTGCCATCGATATCCCCTTTTATCTATTTTTTCTTGTTTTGGTTCTCCCTATTTTACAATAATTATAGACATATAAGAAAAAAGATAGAGAATTGGAAAACAAAATAACAATAAAAAAAGAGTGAGATCGATGACAGGGGTTAACGGTGGTGATAAAAAATGGACGACGATGAGGCGACAAGAGATGACAAGGGGTTTGAATGACGTAGAGTTTACAAACGGTAAAACTAATTTCGTTTTCTTTTAACTTTAAAACCTTGTTAGTCGATTTCAAATAACTTTTTAACGTTAAAAATACTTAGGTAACGTTAAAAAAACGTTGGGTATGGACTTTTCACTTAATTTTATAGAATTACTATTAATTCGATTAAAAAGTCCATAACTTGTGAGTTATCTTAATTTGCAAATAAGCCCCTCCGGTTTTGTGGTTCTAAAATATTATATTCTATTCAGCCAAGCGTGTGATCTTTTATTTATTCAAATTTTGCCCCAGAAATAATTTATCTTTTCCTTGAGGCCCAAGAAATGCATTATTTGCACTTCTTTTACTCAATTAGCTTATACATTGAATGGAACTCTTACCACTGTTTACTTCGAATATATAATTAATGCATCTTTATAACTTCAAACGTGTACATGAATTCACATCAATCTGGAAACATGAACGTATCAATATTTAATTGATTTTTATTTTTTATTTTTTTACGATGAAAATGATAACAAGTTTCTGATAAATTTTATGATTAATAAATAATAAACCAAAAAAAAGATTTTTTGAGAGGTAAAATTCTATAATAATAAATGAAATTGGTGTATACATAAACCACTTTCATACACCATCACTTAATTATGAGGAATGTTTTAAAGGACTGAATTAATGCTTAAGTAACCATGAAATTGGCCAATGGGAGCAGAAACATGTATCATCCTAAGAGGATTAGTTGATTGTAATCTACTTATTTGACTTCTCATTATTCCACCATTTAATTAATAAATCATTTTTATTATATATATATATATATATATATATATATATATATAATGAGTTTTATATATAGTTCATACCAAAGTCAACACTCCATCTCCTTTCCTTGCACTATAATCTTCATATCATCCTTGATTTATGCTTGCCTAAACCCTAAGTTTCTTACCATTTTCCTATTCATACTTTGGTAGATTGATTCAAAGTTGAGTTGTTTCTAGCCATGTATACCTTTGTGTATATATAGCACGATCTTCACAAACTAGATCCATCTCTTTTCTTTTCTTTTCTATCTTAAAATATGGCAGTTGAAATGGAATTACAAACTTCTCCACCTGAAGGGATTCTAGAGAACGTATGGGCAACTTTCATTGGCGAAGATTGCCAAACAAGCGAGGAACCAACAATGAAACCGTATCAAGTTTCCGAATCATGGGAGGAATTGCCAAATCTTGATCATGGTAGAGACGAGTCAATGGGATTTTTACAAAGGCTACCGAGCTTGGGTAGATGGATATCTATGGGATCGGAAGAATGGGAGGAAATTCTTGATAGGATTGTTCTTCCTTCTGAGAATTTGGAAAATTCATGCGATCAGTGTCTTTCAAAAAGTGGTGAGAGTACTGTTTCGAGTTCAGGAGCTAATGTTGTGAAAGTTGAGAAGCGTTATAGGGGAGTCAGGAGACGACCTTGGGGAAAGTATGCAGCCGAAATCAGGGATTCATCAAGAAAAGGAGCGAGGGTTTGGCTTGGAACATTCAAGACAGCCGAAGAAGCCGCTTTGGCTTATGATAAGGCGGCATTGAGAATTAGAGGCCCTAAAGCACATCTCAATTTTCCGATCCAAGTAGTAGAAAAAGCGATGGGAATCACTCATGATCCAAAATGTGACACAAATGATCCTTTGACCAGTTCTCAAAGGATTGATTCAACACATATCCATAATTTATGGGCCAGAGATTACAATACAAATAAAAGGGTGGTTAGAGGATGGGAAGAACTCCAAGAGAAGGATGTAGCCATGCATGGACCACCTCCGTTGAAGAGATTGGACACCTTGGATGGATCGTATTGGGATGACAACATTGATGTACTCGAGTTTCAAGATCTTGGTGCTAGTTATTTAGAAAATCTGTTGTTTAGAGAAACGAAATTCTAGTTTATGATAGTTGCATATATAAGAAATTACACTTAGAATAATTTTGTTAGACACGCTCCAATAGCAAAACAAACAAAAATGTTTTATAATCACAATCGCCAATTTTTTTTTATCTTCATTCATTTTCCCTCATGAGGTAACACCATTGACTTTAAGATAATATACTTGTAAGAACATACAAGGCTCGAGTCTAACAAACCAGTGTGGGAGTTACAATTCCGACCTTTGGGTATTGGTCGGCTTGTGGGCACTGAGTTCTTAAGCCAACTACCTAGCGAACGATCGTGCATTTGATTTGCCTCTCATATGATATTCTCGAGACTAAACAGTATAGGTCGGAGGTTGCCAGTTATAAACCTTTTATATACAAATTATTTGTTTATTGTTACTGGTGTTGATGAAAATATATGAAGATAAAATATATTTTATTTTGGTTCCTATTTTAAAAACCTACTTTTAATACTTCAATTTTGATTATTTTTTCAACTTTTTTTTTTTCTGTTTTCAAAATTTTAATAAAATCTCTTGTTTGGTTCACATAAATATGTTTCATTTTTTTTAATTGCAGTATGATACACAAAATAAAACAAGAAAACAAAATAAGCTTTATTATAAATACATTCCGGTTTAGAGAATGTATTGTTTTCATCATGTGTTTAAAAAAAGTTAGTTGGGCCAAGAGATAGAAATAGGCAATGACATTTAGGGGATGTCTACACAATTGCTTATTCGGTAAGTGCTTATCAATATGAGTCAACATTATAATTTATTTTGATGCTTAAGATTTTAGTACATTAAAACGTATTGAATTGCAACAATTTACCGGGTAAGCGTTTACCTGGGTAAGAGTCGTCATCTTCACTTACCGGGTAAGACTCTCTATCATTCTCATTGCTCTTACCCGGTATGATTCTTGACCATTATCATGTTCATCCGATGAGGAAATTTATCCGGTAAACACTTACAAAATAAACGTTTAGTAAACGTCCCCTTATATATTTTCATTCTTAAAATTTCTTTTTAGAAAAAGTTAACTACTAAAAGGGTTCGTTTTTCCGTTTGTAACAAATGGGTAATTGTGTAATTTTTGCAAATTCTTTAAGGGTTCTTTCATTCGCATTTGAGAGGAAAGTCAACATTATTTTCCTTCATTTTCATCTCTTTTTTAAAATACAAGATTTTTCTTCTTCCCCACTTTCAAGTCATGTAAATTGTGTATAAAGTTTGTAGTAAATTCTACTGAGTATCTTTCTGTAAAGCTGTGACCAATTAGTGTTATTCCGAAGTTCATGTTATGTGAAACATGTATTATATATGCAAATTATGATGGGTTGTTACCAGGGCCGGCCCTGACTATAGGCCCAGGGCAGCATAAGGTCCAAGGGCATCAAAATTTCAAAGCCCAATGTGTGTGTATATATATATATATATATATATATATGTTTAGTTTTCTTTTTTTACCTTGCGTCCAACACACGGTCCATCATCCTCCCTCCGCTCACTCCCTGTCTCCCTCGCTCTCGCTCCTCGGCCTCGCTCTCGCCTCGCTCACTCACGGAACTCACGAGTCACGACAGAATAGAAACCGATTCACGAATCGCTATCGGCCTTGACAGTTAACACAATCGGGAAATCGGCTCTCGCTCTCGTGACTACCACCTGCCGTCTGCGTTGCTTCTTCTGCCGTCTGCGACTCGCTCTCGCTCTCTGCCTTCTATCGACTTGTGAGGTTAGGGATTTAACAGTTAGCCACTTAGGGTTATTAATTATTTTATTTTTTGAAGTTTCTAATTCTTATTTGATTGCAAAACCTAATAATGAAACTGTAAAATTGGTCTTTTGTGGTTTGTCATTTATGTTTCTAATTCTTGTTACTGACTTACTGTATCACTTGTTAGTTGTTACTGACTTACTGTGTTTGAGTGTTTCACTTGTTACAAACCACAAAATTAGAAAGAAATGACAACCATTTGTTAATTTTAGGGCTGTTTAGAAGCGGGTTAGTACTTAATATAGGACAAAGGCTTAAGATTGATGCTTATGTTAATTTTAGGGTTGTTTAGAAGCAGATTAGTAATTTTAGGGCTGTTTAGAAGCAGGTTATTACCATCGGGTGCTCAAAATAAGAAAAGAACATTACAAGGGGACTTGGGACTGTTTTGGGGGCTGTTTCGTTTTGCAATTTCTAAGTAAAATCCATGAAATGAGTCTGGTTACTCACTTCTGTTTGCAGACATTGTTGTGTGTCAAACAGTCAAAGCTTCTGCTGCCATTTGTTAATTGTTGGGTCATGGGTGAATGGGTGGTTGGCCTAAAGATGTCTATAAGAGTATAAGACTAATAGAACATAAACCTCTTCTTCCTTAAATAAAAAAAACAACCATTTCTTGTTAGGTTGGTGGCCCAAATTCCTGATTTCGTGTTCACTATTTGTATCCTCTAAAGACTTTAAAATGTGAATAGAATTTCCATTCCTTTCCATTTGCTCAAGCCTTAAATTTTTTACTTTTTACGGCTGTTTGGAAGCTTTTTAGGAGCTGTTTTGAAGCGGGTTAGTATAGGACAAAGACTTAAGATTGAAGCTTATGTTTTCTTCTCCTTTATCAATTTGTCCATGTCGCTTAATCGTTCCACTTTCTTGGCAATCTCACAACACGAACCACAAATGGTGATGTATTTTATATTTTGTTACACGGGGTTTTGGTTTATGTCCCCCCCGTTGCTTCATATTTGTTATATTTAAACGGAGTGGGAATGAGCCGCCTAGATTGACTAGGTTCTAAACCCCTTCAAATAATTTATTTTGGTTTTTATTTACACATATAAGGGGCATTTTTTTGACTTTCCGCCATGGACATCCAAAATCTCAGGACCGGCCCTGGTTGTTACTTTTTAGAACACAAGACCTTCTCTCCCATTTCCTTCATTCCTTCATTAAATAGGTCTTGAGAAAACAACGTGATTATACATGGGGTTGCAAGCAAACTGCAAGTCACACCAATTTACTACGTGTACTATTGTCTTGTGCTTCTCTTCGTGTACTGTGAAGGAGACAACTTTGTTGATGGTGGGTAAATGATCAATTAGTGTGTACCAATCCACACATTCACATAACTAAGTAAAACATAGTTTACATAAATCCGAACACAATTCGTTTATATATCGAGCACCATACTTTTAAAACTAGAGAACCGAAAAGAAAACTTTTTGCTTGAATACAACTTTTTGCTTGGACAAAGGGCCTTTGGTCTAGCGGTATCGTAGTCCTGCCTTTCTAGGAGGTCAGGGGTTCAAACCTCACCATATGTAAGGAGGGTGTGTGAGTTTATTTGTTGCATTTGCCGTATATAAATATTATATACTTCAAAAAAAACTTTTTGCTTGAATACAACTTCATACAAAGGATTCACATAATCACATGATCAAGAGATAACTTCTCAAAAACTTTTGACAGGCTTCAAATATAACAATCCACATAAGACCATCTCATGCCTTTTGCTTTTCTTTATTTTATAACCGATTCTTTCATGAAATGCATATTTTTGTAAATAAAATAAGGGTTAGACCATGCAGTCTAGTGAAGAAAATCCCTAACAATTTAATATTCCAATACAAATCAGATAATAAAAGATATTTAAATCAGTTAGTGAAACTATAACACTAGGTTTTAACATCCCTCCCAAATAACTTGTCACATCAGTCGTTAATAATCAATCACACACACATCCCCGGTAAAGTTGCAATCAACATCGGTTGTTGCCCAACATACGAAACGAGTTCGTGGGTTTACTTCTCAAATATTTACTACTTATCAAATCAACCTTTCATATATATATATATATATATATATATAGGAGCGATCAAATGAAAACCACCCTCATTTGTAAAAACCGTACAAACCATCCTCATACGTCGATTTCATTGTTTAATCTTATGAATTTTTTTCATGAAATTGTTTAATCTTGTGAAATTGTTTCATATAATACTTTTTTTAATGAATTTGTTTCATATATGGTTCTGAAATTGATCCATATAATATTTAATGAAACTGTTTCATGTATTTCTCTAAAATTAAAATAATGAAAATGATAATATCCATGATTAACACCCTCCATAATAAAAATGGTTAATCAACCTCTCATAATTACAAAAAAAATGAACAAAGTGAAAAATTATGATTGGTTGAATGAGGTTTTCACGGTTTTTACAAATTGAGTGGTTTTTATTTGAACGCTCCTATATATATATATATATATAGAGAGAGAGAGAGAGAGAGAGAGAGAGAGAGAGAGAAAAGTAATAAGTATTTGAGAAAAAAAACATCGGATAATTCATGGGTATGTGAAAAATGGAGATGTAATTTCATAACTTTTACAAATAGCCAGCAAACGGGCTCATATGTGAATCCATGTGATTCACATATAAATTATATGTGAACCTGTTAATTAGTTCATATGTGAATCAATTAATTAGTTCATTTGTGAATCACACAGGTTCATATGTGAATCAGTTAATTAGTTCATATGTAAATCACACAAGTTCATATGTACGAGAATGCGAGAAGGAAAATTGGGCATGCAATTCATTAATTAAAAAAAATACCATAAATAAAAAATGGAAAATAATTTTAGAGATTAGGATAATTGTTATTTAAATTGGATAAATTCTTAAAAATTTCATTATATCTTTTAAATTTATTTATTTTTTAATTTTAATTAATTAATAATTTTTTATCAAATTTTATATAAAAAAATTAGATACATATTTGATAAAATAATAGGAAAATTGCACCAAAATGGATACAACTCTCACCTGATTCCTATTTTGGAGAATCAATTTTCAAAATTGTCATTCAGGGGTCTCTATCAAACTTTTTATTTATTTAAGGGTCTGATTGACTTATTGACCTGTTAATGCTGATATCATCCAGATCTTTTGCCAACTAAGATATTTCACGTCACATTAATTTTTTTATTTTAAAACTAATATTTCATGTTATA